TGGCACACGTCACACACACATATCAATCATCACACGCACGCACACACACCTGGCACACGTCACACACACATGGCAGTCATCACACGCACACACACACCTGACACACGTCACACACACACATGGCAGTCATCATACACACACACATACACACACCTGGCACACGTCACACACATGGCAGTCATCACACACACACACTCACCTGGCACGCATCACACACACCACTGGCACACAAAACACACACCTGGCAGTCATCCCACACACACACACCTGGCAGTCATTACACACACACACTTGGTAGTCGGCACACATTACACGCATACATGATACACACCACACACAAACCTGACACACATACCACACATACCTGACACACATCACACGCATACCTGACATACATTACACGCATACCTGGCCCACATCACACACATACTTGACACATCACACGCATACCTGGCGCACATAACGTATACCTGAAACATATCACAGGCATAACTGGCGCACATCACACACACCTGGCAGTCATCACACACACACACACCTGGTAGTCGGCACACATTACACGCATACCTGACACATATCAGACACATACCTCGCGAACATAACACAAATACCTGACACACATCAAACGCATACCTGACATACATTACACGTATACCTGGCGCGCATCACACACAAACCTGGCGCACATCACACGCATAACTGGCGCACCTCACATACATACCTAGCGCACATCACAAGCATACCTGGCACATCACAAGCATACCTGGCGCACATCACACGAATAACTGGCGCACATCACGCATAACTGGCGCACATCACACGCATAACTGGCACACATCACACGCATACCTGGCGCACATAACGCATACCTGACACATATCACAGGCATAACTGGCGCACATCACACACACCTGGTAGTCGGCACACATTACACGCATACCTGACACATATGAAACACATAGCTCGCGAACATAACACACATACCTGACACATATCACACGCATACCTGACATACATTACACGTATACCTGGCCCACAGCACACACATACCTAACACACATCACACACATACCTGACACATCACACGCATACCTGGCACACATCACACGCATACCTGACATATATCACACGCATACCTGGCGCACATCACACGCATACCTGACACACAACACACGCAAACCTGAAACACATTACACGCATACCTGGCGCACATCAGAAACATACCTGGCGCACATCACACACATACCTGGCGCACATCACCCGCATACCTGGCGCACCTCACACGAATAACTGGCGCACCTCACACGTATAACTGGCGCACCTCACACGCATACCTGGCGCACATCACACGCATACCTGGCGCACCTCACACGTATAACTGGCGCACATCACACGCATAACTGGTACACATCACACGCATAACTGGTACACATCACACGCATTCCCGGCGCACATCACACGCATACCTGGCGCACCTCACACGTATAACTGGCGCACCTCACACGTATAACGCCCACATCACACGCATAACTGGTACACATCACACGCATAACTGGTACACATCACACTCATAACTGGTACACATCACACGCATAACTGGCGCACATCACACGCATAACTGGCGCACATCACACGCATAACTGGTACACATCACACTCATAACTGGTACACATCACACGCATAACTGGTACACATCACACGCATTGCCGGCGCACATCACACGCATACCTGGCGCACCTCACACGTATAACTGGCGCACCTCACACGTATAACTGGCGCACCTCACACGTATAACTGGCCCACATCACACGCATAACTGGTACACATCACACGCATAACTGGTACACATCACACTCATAACTGGTACACATCACACGCATAACTGGCGCACATCACACGCATAACTGGCGCACATCACACGCATAACTGGTACACATCACACTCATAACTGGTACACATCACACGCATAACTGGCGCACATCACACGCATAACTGGTACACATCACACTCATAACTAGTACACATCACACTCATAACTGGTACACATCACACGCATAACTGGTACACATCACACGCATAACTGGTACACATCACACGCATAACTGGCGCACATCACACGCATAACTGGTACACATTACACTCATAACTGGTACACATCACACGCATAACTGATACACATCACACACATAACTGGCGCACATCACACGCATTCCCGGCGCACATGGCATGCATACCTGACGCACATCACACACACCTGGCAGTCATCACACACACCTGGCAGTCATCACTCACACACACACACACACCTGGCAGTCATCACACACACACACACACACCTGGCAGTCATCACACACACACACACACCCGGTAGTCGGCACACATTACATGCATACCTGACACACATCAGGCACATAACTGGCGCATATTACACGCATACCTGGCGCATATTACACGCATACCTGGCGCACATCACACACATACTTGGCACACCTCACAAACATACCTGGCGCACATCACACGCATAACTGACGCACATTACACGCATACCCAGCGCACATCGCATGCATACCCGGCGCACATCGCATGCATACCTGACGCACATCACACACACCTGGCAGTCATCACACACACCTGGCAGTCATCACTCACACACACACACACACACCTGGCAGTCATCACACACACACACACACACACCTGGCAGTCATCACACACACACACACACACACACACACACACACACACACATCCGGTAGTCGGCACACATTACATGCATACCTGACACACATCAGGCACATAACTGGCGCATATTACACGCATACCTGGCGCATATTACACGCATACCTGGCGCACATCACACACATACTTGGCACACCTCACAAACATACCTGGCGCACATCACACGCATAACTGACGCACATTACACGCATACCCAGCGCACATCGCATGCATACCCGGCGCACATCGCATGCATACCTGGCGCACATCACACACACACACCTGGCAGTCATCACACACACACACCTGGCAGTCGGCACACATCACACGCATACCTGGCGCTCCTCACACGCATACCTGGTGCACCTCACACACATACCTGTCGCACCCCGCACACATACCTGACACACACACACACCTTGTTATTTGACTGGGCAGTGACGCAGTGACCATATCTATCCCCCAGTTGGACGGAGTGCTAGACAGTATGTCATCCATCGCTGTCTTGTGGAGATTCTATGGGTCAGCGTCGTCAGCGCTGGCTGAAGCCAAGGAACGAAAGTAAGTCCTCTTCTATGTCCTCTTCTATGTCCTCTTCTATGTCCTCTTCTATGTCCTCTCTTATTTGCTTGTTATGTCCTTATGCTATCTGTATTATATCCTGCCTTGTTTTCTTGTGGTCTTACATGTCCCCGTTTTCTGTTTCTCTGTTGTCCACCGTTAGCTCACTTGTATCATCTCTATTATGATCTCTGGTGCCCTTTGTGTGAACAACTCTACCGTCTGTCCATGTCAAGTTATCCTCCCACTTGTATCGTTGTCTACCTCTTGCTCGCATAAACTTCTGGTCTCTCTGGTGTGTTTAAAATCTAGTCCCTACTTACTTGTGTATTTCTTCCAAAGTGTATCCCTTACGTTTTAAAATGCTCTAGCTCATGTACACTCCGTCCTCACCTTTTACTTAGGTGGTCCCTCATTTATTTTACAATAGAAATCAATACTCTAGAACGGACCGATTCCCGGCAAGTCCCGCCCAAGTCCCGCCCAAGTGACGCCTAAGTCCCGCCCAAGTGACGCCATTATCTGTGCAGTTGGTTCGGTGTCGAGAGGCAGACGAGCGCGTGAGTTCATAGCAAAATCGAATGCTTGACCATTAGTGCAGCAAAATCTGGCACATGATAGCACATGTAGTTAGTTTGAGAATAGAGGTAGAGGCAGTTTCCTGCATTCTTCTGTTGGCGTGACAACTAGTTGCACACGCACGTGGTGATGATAACTTGTTCTTCTTCTTCTGCGTTCGATATCAGTCATGCTAAACATTGAGTCCTGTCTGGGTCAGCAGATATGTTGGAAACGATGTGGCTAGGCATGCTCTATGCAAGTGTTGGGGGAACATCGCGTCAGAAATCCCAGGTAGGTAGGTTCCTTTTCATATTTTCTCCATAGCATTAACATGTGTTGGGAAATGAACAGTCAGAGAGATTGGCTGGCGCTGCACCACCGGGTAGTGATTAGATGTGGCTACATGTGGCCATGGCTTTTGGCATCTAGACAACAGTGAGCAGCACCAATAGATCCAGGCCTTTGGTATTCAGGGCTGAAGTAACTATGGTAAACAGAGTGCTACAACTATCATCGGAACTGGCTGCTGAAGACGGGGGCGTTGCGCTAACGAGAACGTCCCCACTGCGGTTATGTCGGTTGTTAACGCATGCCAACTCTATAACTACCAGATGCCATTAGTGCGTTCTGTCAAGTTTTCAGTCAGTCTCCAAAATGCATTCGCTGATTTGTCCTGTCTTGACTTATGTTTACAGAGCATGTATTGTCATCTCCTTCTTCTTCCTGGCCTCTGCCTTCTCCCTCATCTTCAAGTCGACCAAGGCAATCATAGATAACAACAGAGAGGACGAGCAGGAGGTAGGTTGTGTGTGGTTCTAAGTGTGGTCAGGTTTTATTCAGTAGGTAATTAGTCATGTTTCCACTTAAATCCCCCATGCTCCTATTGAAATCTTTCATGTCTCCATTAAATTCTTCCATGTTTTCACTGAAATCTTCAATTTTTTCCACTAAAAACCTCCTCGATAATCATGTTCCCACTAAAATTCTCCATGATAATTATGTTCCCACTAAAATCTTCTATGTTAATCACATTCCCACTGAAATTTTCTTCCATACTAATTCTTGTTTCAGATATTGTTGTCTTTATGCAAATATTATGTCCTGTTCCGGATATTATTTTGTTCCTGATTGATCAAGTCCTCTCCCATGTTAACCATGTCCTATTCCAGACGAATCAGGCGCCCACTAAAGTCCTCTTCCATGGTAATCATATCCCCCATGATGTCCTGTACCATGTCATGTATCATATCCCCCATGATGTCCTGTACCATGTCATGTATCATATCCCCCATGATGTCCTGTACCATGTCATGTATCATATCACCCATGATGTTCTGTACCATGTCATGTATCATATCCCCCATGATGTCCTGTACCATGTCATGTATCATATCCCCAGTGATGTCCTCTACCATGTCATGTATCATATCCCCTGTGATGTCCTCTACCATGTCATGTATCATATCCCCAGTGATGTCCTCTACCATGTCATGTATCTTATCCCTCGTGATGTCCTCTAACATGTCATGTATCATATCCCCAGTGATGTCCTCTACCATGTCATGTATCATATCCCCCATGATGTCCTGTACCATGTCATGTATCATATCCCCAGTGATGTCCTCTACCATGTCATGTATCATATCCCTCGTGATGTCCTCTACCATGTCATGTATCATATCCCCTGTGATGTCCTCTACCATGTCATGTATCATCATATCCCCAGTGATGTCCTCTACCATGTCATGTATCATATCCCCCGTGATGTCCTGTACCATGTCATGTATCATATCCCCAGTGATATCCTCTACCATGTCATGTATCATATCACCCATGATGTCCTCTACCATGTCATGTATCATATCACCAGTAATGTCCTCGACCATGTCATGTATCTTATCCCTCGTGATGTCCTCTACCATGTCATGTATCATATCCCCAGTGATGTCCTCTACCATGTCATGTATCATATCCCCAGTGATGTCCTCTACCATGTCATGTATCATATCCCCAGTGATGTCCTCTACCATGTCATGTATCATATCCCCAGTGATGTCCTCTACCATGTCATGTATCATATCCCCAGTGATGTCCCCTACCATGGCATGTATCATATCCCCAGATATGTCCTCTACCACGTCATGTATCATATCCCTCATGATGTCCTCTACCATGTCATGTATCATATCCCCAGATATGTCCTCTACCACGTCATGTATCATATCCCTCATGATGTCCTCTACCATGTCATGTATCATATCTCTCGTGATGTCCTCTACCATGTCATGTATCATATCCCCAGTGATGTCCTCTACCATGTCATGTATCATATCCCCAGTGATGTCCTCTACCATGTCATGTATCATATCCCCTGTGATGTCCTCTACCATGTCATGTATCATATCACCCATGATGTCCTCTACCATGTCATGTATCATATCACCCATGATGTCCTCTACCATGTGATGTATCATATCCCCCGTAATGTCCTCGACCATGTCATGTATCATATCCCTCGTGTTATACTCTAACATGTCATGTATCATATCTCTCGTGATGTCCTCTACCATGTCATGTATCATATCTCTCATGATGTCCTCTAACATGTCATGTATCATATCTCTCGTGATGTCCTCTACCATGTCATGTATCATATCTCTCATGATGTCCTCTAACATGTCATGTATCATATCTCTCGTGATGTCCTCTACCATGTCATGTATCATATCTCTCGTGATGTCCTCTACAATGTCATGTATCATATCCCCAGTGATGTCCTCTACCATGTCATGTATCATATCCCCTATGTGATGTCCTGTACCATGTCATGTATCATATCCCCAGTGATGTCCTCTACCATGTGATGATGTCCTCTACCATGTCATGTATCATATCCCATGATGTCCTCTACCATGTCATGTATCATATCCCCAGTGATGTCCGTACCAGTGTCATGTAAAGTGATGTCCTCAGTGATATCCTGTACCATGTCATGTATCATATCCCCAGTGATGTCCTGTACCATGTCATGTATCATATCCCCAGTGATGTCCTCTACCATGTCATGTATCATATCCCTCGTGATGTCCTCTACCATGTCATGTATCATATCCCTCGTGATGTCCTCTACCATGTCATGTATCATATCCCTCGTGATGTCCTCTACCATGTCATGTATCTTATCCCTCGTGATGTCCTCTAACATGTCATGTATCTTATCCCCTGTGATGTCCTCTACCATGTCATGTAACATATCCCTCGTGATGTCCTCTACCATGTCATGTATCATATCCCTCGTGATGTCCTCTACCATGTCATGTATCATATCCCTCGTGATGTCCTCTACCATGTCATGTATCATATCCCTCGTGATGTCCTCTACCATGTCATGTATCTTATCCCTCGTGATGTCCTCTAACATGTCATGTATCTTATCCCCTGTGATGTCCTCTACCATGTCATGTAACATATCCCTCGTGATGTCCTCTAACATGTCATGTATCTTATCCCCTGTGATGTCCTCTACCATGTCATGTAACATATCCCTAGTGATGTCCTCTACCATGTCATGTATCATATCTCTCGTGATGTCCTCTACCATGTCATGTATCATATCCAACGTGATGTCCTCTACCATGTCATGTATCGTATCCCTCGTGATGTCCTCTACCATGTCATGTATCGTATCCCTCGTGATGTCCTCTACCATGTCATGTATCATATCCCTCGTGATGTCCTCTACCATGTCATGTATCATATCCCTCGTGATGTCCTCTACCATGTCATGTATCATATCCCCTCGTGATGTCCTATACCATGTCATGTATCATATCCATCGTGATGTACCATGTCATGTATCATATGTCCTCTACCATGTCATGTATCATATCCCTAGTGATGTCCTCTACCATGTCATGTATCTTATCTCTCGTGATGTCCTCTAACATGTCAGGTATCTTATCCCCTGTGATGTCCTCTACCATGTCATGTAACATATCCCTCGTGATGTCCTCTACCATGTCATGTATCATATCCCTCATGATGTCCTCTACCATGTCATGTATCATATCCCTAGTGATGTCCTCTACCATGTCATGTATCATATCTCTCGTGATGTCCTCTACCATGTCATGTATCATATCCAACGTGATGTCCTCTACCATGTCATGTATCATATCCAACGTGATGTCCTCTACCATGTCATGTAACATATCCCTCGTGATGTCCTTTACCATGTCATGTATCATATCCAACGTGATGTCCTCTACCATGTCATGTATCATATCCAACGTGATGTCCTCTACCATGTCATGTATCAAATCCCTAGTGATGTCCTCTACCATGTCATGTATCATATCCAACGTGATGTCATCTACCATGTCATGTATCATATCCAACGTGATATCCTCTACCATGTCATGTATCTTATCCCCTATGATGTCCTGTACTATGTCATGTATCATATCACCCGTGATGTCCTCTACCATGTCATGTATCTTATCCCCTATAATGTCCTCTACCATGTTATGTATCATATCCAACGTGATGTCATCTACCATGTCATGTATCATATCCAACGTGATATCCTCTACCATGTCATGTATCTTATCCCCTATGATGTCCTGTACTATGTCATGTATCATATCCCTCGTGATGTCCTCTACCATGTCATGTATCATATCTCTCGTGATGTCCTCTACCATGTCATGTATCATATCACCCATGATGTCCTCTACCATGTCATGTATCATATATCTCGTGATGTCCTCTACCATGTCATGTATCATATCCCTCGTGATGTCCTCTACCATGCCATGTATCATATCCCCCGTGATGTCCTCTACCATGTCATGTACCATATCCCCTATAATGTCCTGTAATACGTCATGTATCATATCCCCAGTGATGTATGTCCTCTACCATGTCATGTATCATATCCCCAGTGATCTCCTGTACCATGTCATGTATCTTATCCCCATGATGTCCTCTACCATGTCATGTATCTTATCCTTCATGATGTCCTGTACCATGTCATGTATCATATCCCACGTGATGTCCTGTACCATGTGATGTATCTTATCCCCTATGATGTCCTGTACCATGTGATGTATCTTATCCCCTATGATGTCCTGTACCATGTGATGTATCTTATCCCCTATGATGTCCTGTACCATGTCATGTATCTTATCCCCTATGATGTCCTGTACCATGTCATGTATCATATCCCTCGTGATGTCCTGTACCATGTGATGTATCTTATCCCCTATGATGTCCTGTACCATGTGATGTATCTTATCACCTATGATGTTCTGTACCATGTGATGTATCTTATCCCCTATGATGTCCTGTACCATGTGATGTATCATATCCCCCGTGATGTCCTCTACCATGTGATGTATCATATCCCCCGTGATGTCCTCTACCATGTCATGTATCATATCACCCGTGATGTATGTCCTCTACAATGTCATGTATCATATCCCCGTGATGTATGTCCTCTACAATGCCATGTATCATATCCCCAGTGATGTATGTCCTCTACAATGTCATGTATCATATCACCAGTGATGTCCTCAACAATGCCATGTATCATATCCCCAGTGATGTCCTTTACAATGTCATGTATCATATCCCCAGTGATGTCCTCTACAATGTCATGTATCATATCCCCAGTGATGTCCTCTACAATGTCATGTATCATATCCCCAGTGATGTCCTCTACAATGTCATGTATCATATCCCCAGTGATGTATGTCCTCTACAATGTCATGTATCATATCCCCCGTGATGTCCTCTACAATGTCATGTATCATATCCCCAGTGATGTATGTCCTCTACAATGTCATGTATCATATCCCCCGTGATATCCTCTACCATGTCATGAATCTTATCCCCTATGATGTCCTGTACTATGTCATGTATCATATCTCCAGTGATGTCCTCTACCATGTCATGTATCTTATCCCCTATGATGTCCTCTACCATGTTATGTATCATATCCCTCGTGATGTCCTCTACCATTTCATGTATCATATATCTCGTGATGTCCTCTACCATGTCATGTATCATATCCCTCAAGATGTCCTCTACCATGCCATGTATCATATCCCCCGTGATGTCCTATACCATGTCATGCACCATATCCCCTATAATGTCCTGTAATATGTCATGTATCTTATCCTTCATGATGTCCTCTACCATGTCATGTATCTTATCCTTCGTGATGTCCTCTACCATGTCATGTATCATATCCCTCAAGATGTCCTCTACCATGCCATGTATCATATCCCCCGTGATGTCCTATACCATGTCATGCACCATATCCCCTATAATGTCCTGTAATATGTCATGTATCTTATCCTTCATGATGTCCTCTACCATGTCATGTATCTTATCCGTCATGATGTCCTCTACCATGTCATGTATCTTATCCTTCATGATGTCCTGTACCATGTCATGTATCATATCCCACGTGATGTCCTGTACCATGTGATGTATCTTATCCCCTATGATGTCCTGTACCATGTGATGTATCTTATCCCCTATGATGTCCTGTACCATGTGATGTATCTTATCCCCTATGATGTCCTGTATCATGTGATGTATCTTATCCCCTATAATATCCTGTACCATGTCATGTATCATATCCCTCGTGATGTCCTGTACCATGTGATGTATTTTATCCCCTATGATGTCCTGTACCATGTGATGTATCTTATCCCCTATGATGTCCTGTACCATGTGATGTATCTTATCCCCTATGATGTCCTGTACCATGTGATGTATCATATCCCCCGTGATGTCTTCTACAATGTCATGTATCATATCCCCAGTGATGTATGTCCTCTACAATGCCATGTATCATATTCCCCGTGATGTCCTCTACAATGCCATGTATCATATCCCCAGTGATGTATGTCCTCTACATTGCCATGTATCATATCCCCCGTGATGTCCTCTACAATGTCATGTATCATATCCCCAGTGATGTATGTCCTCTACAATGCCATGTATCATATCCATCGTGATGTCCTCTACAATGCCATGTATCATATCCCCCGTGATGTCCTCTACAATGCCATGTATCAAATCCCCCGTGATGTCCTCTACAATGCCATGTATCATATCCCCAGTGATGTATGTCCTCTACAATGCCATGTATCATATCCCCAGTGATGTATGTCCTCTACAATGCCATGTATCATATCCCCCGTGATGTCCTCTACAATGTCATGTATCATACCCCAAGTGATGTATGTCCTCTACAATGCCATGTATCATATCCCCCGTGATGTCCTCTACAATGCCATGTATCATATCCCCAGTGATGTATGTCCTCTACAATGCCATGTATCATATCCCCCGTGATGTCCTCTACAATGTCATGTATCATATCCCCAGTGATGTATGTCCTCTACAATGCCATGTATCATATCCCCCGTGATGTCCTCTACAATGCCATGTATCATATCCCCCGTGATGTCCTCTACAATGCCATGTATCATATCCCCCGTGATGTCCTCTACAATGCCATGTATCATATCCCCAGTGATGTATGTCCTCTACAATGCCATGTATCATATCCCCAGTGATGTATGTCCTCTACAATGCCATGTATCATATCCCCCGTGATGTCCTGTAGCAGCTATGACAGTTTCTGCCAGGTATTTCCTACTTGCACTCCAGACACAAAACCCACATGTGTGCACCCCAGACACAAAACCCACATGTGTGCACTCCAGACACAAAACCCACATGTGTGTACTCCAGACACAAAACCCACATGTGTGCACTCCAGACACAAAAACCCACACGTGTGCTCTCCAGACACAAAAACCCACATGTGTGCACCCCAGACACAAAAACCCACATGTGTGCACCCCAGACACAAAAACCCACATGTGTGCACTCCAGACACAAAAACCCACATGTGTGCACTCCAGACACAAAAACCCACATGTGTGTACTCCAGACACAAAAACCCACATGTGTGCACTCCAGACACAAAAACCCACATGTGTGCACTCCAGACACAAAAACCCACATGTGTGCACTCCAGACACAAAAATCCACATGTGTCCACCCCAGACACAAAAACCCACATGTGTGCACCCCAGACACAAAACCCACATGTGTGCACTCCAGACACAAAACCCACATGTGTGCACCCCAGACACAAAACCCACATGTGTGCACTCCAGACACAAAACCCACATGTGTGCACTCCAGACACAAAACCCACATGTGTGCACCCCAGACACAAAACCCACATGTGTGCACTCCAGACACAAAAACCCACATGTGTGCACTCCAGACACAAAACCCACATGTGTGCACTCCAGACACAAAAACCCACATGTGTGCACTCCAGACACAAAAACCCACATGTGTGCACTCCAGACATGTGTTGGATATAGCACACTATGACTCCAGCTCGGCTATCATCCTCTGGAGTCTCTAAGAACATCTGGCTCTTTGAAGATATGACCTCGAGCTCCCAGGTCCACACAACCTAACTAGGCACTTGAAGATATTCTGGGAAGTAAAGGCGACCAGATGATGCAATTAGTAATAGGCGACGCACCTTCACTGCTATCTTGTTCTGTGTTTGTTCCCAGCACTTCAGTATTGACTGTTCCCAGCACTTCAGCATTGACTGTTCCCAGCACTTCAGTATTGACTGTTCCCAGCACTTCAGTATTGACTGTTCCCAGCACTTCAGTATTGACTGTTCCCAGCACTTCAGTATTGACTGTTCCCAGCACTTCAGTATTGACTGTTCCCAGCACTTCAGCATTGACTGTTCCCAGCACTTCAGTATTGACTGTTCCCAGCACTTCAGTATTGACAATTTGCTACATAAGCCAGTTATATCCAAGTGATCCCATTCTTTCCGATTGTATGTTACATCTCAACATGATCACGATGCATAGCATGACTGAATGTGATCGTACAAATCTAGTAGTCATGGCTCGTCTCCAGGATTGCTGCCCGTGAGACAAGATGTGCTGAACGAAGCTGACTGAAGAAAAGATCTTATTGCCCAGGTCAAGGGGGTGGTGGGGGGGGGGGGGGCGGCATCTATTGTTTAGTCATTTCATGAGATGGAACAACTAGAATACATCGTGACGGCGGGAAAGTTGCAGGATAAAGAGGCAGAAGGTCAAGAGAGAAGATGCTGGTCAGTTTGACATCATGAAAGATTGTGTCAGAATTGATTGAAAGTACACGAGACACAAGTGTGTGTGATAGACATCTTCCACACATTAATAATTAGTTTATAATTAATTGTGAAATAATCTTAGTATGCGAGGGTGTGGTGTCACCTGACCACATTGTTCTGTCCAGGATGCCAGGATACTGACAGATGCATTTTCCGCTTTCTGTGGGGTTTCGGCTCTCGTCGTCGCCTCGGTGAAAGTCTACCTGGGCCGGAGACTGGACAGTCGGGCACTGCTGACAGACAGTGAGTACTCTCTTGCAGGTTCTTGCTTATCTTGTAGCAGGAAATATCTTGATCAAGTTACTTGTGAGGTTGTGAAACCAGGACTAAGATTGACAAAGACATTGGAGAAAATAGATTATGGGGCTATGCGTGAACTGACACATCGCTGTCTCTGGTTATCCCCGAGGCGGCTCTTCCCAACCTCCAACCGACTCAACAAAAAAACAAATTCTGGGGAGGAAGGCCAAGGTCAACTTTGTTTAAAAGCATCAAAATAAGCTGTATCATAAATATTATATTTCAAAAACATTTGTTTTTTTTTAAAGTATCCAGAAACCATGAGTTGTTAACCCTTTGGCTCGGTACTATGGATATCGCAACCTTTCGACCTTGATTCCATGATAGGTACCGTTAATCTGGGAGAAATGTGGCTTTTCTGCCTATCCCCGGGCGTGAACCCGGACCACAAGGAGTTCGTCACCCGGCCGCCGCTAAAATCAGGTTTAACCAACTACGCAAGAGAGCCGGGCAATCAAACAACATAAAATGTGTACACAAATACATGTATGTTTGTATGGTGGGGAGGAGGCTTTGCAAATTAAAAGGTGCCCCTCGCCGGTTGTGATGCCGCCCCCCCCCCCTTCTCCGAAGCCCCTGCAACCCCTGTGAAACACTTAGGTCTATTTGGAAGAAAGCGAGCAGCTGGCTAATGCAGCAGCCAAGTCAGCGATCTTCCAGCTCAACCACCTCGATCCCAGCGTCCTTGTGATGGACACCTGCACGGTGGGGATGGCCTGGCTGGTCACATCGTTTGTAGCATCGATCTTCTGGCAGGATATGCAGGACCTGCAGACAGAACTGTGAAGTCAGTCAGTGGCTGCTTATTTAGCCTTCTCCTGACTAGGTCTACAATTGTATTCACATACAAGATGGAACAACCAGGGCAGACAATCAAGTACACATGCAGTCAGTCAAACATTCAGTCAATCGATCAAACATTCAGTCAGTCAAACATTCAATCAATCGATCAAACATTCAGTCAGTCAAGCATTTATATAATTAGTTTATTGTAGGCAGTCAGCAAGAAGATTCAGAACAATAAACAATCAGTCAGACAAAGAACAATAGACTGTCTGTGATAGAACATTAGACTAATTGTCAGTCAACCAGAGAATGAACGAACGAACCAACTTTATTTTTAAAGGGTCACACAAGAGTCAGACACATGCAGACATAGGAACAGACGGTGACATTCTGTTGCAAGTGGACACCTGTCTGGGTGCTGTGTGTCTGCCTGCTATGTCTCCTGCCTACCTATTATGTGCCTAGTGTCTGTCTGCTGTCTAATTTCTGTCTGTATTTTGTCTAATTGCTGGACTGACTAACTGCTGACTAACTTCTGTCTGCCTATTATGTGCTGACTATGTGTTGTCTGCCTGATGACTACTTGCTGTTTACATGGTGTCTGAATGCTGTCTGTGTGGTGTTTGGTTGCTGTCTACGTGCTGTCTGAGTGGTCTATCTGATTTCTGCCAGCTGTTTACGTGCTGCGTTATTTACCTGGCATTTGACCGTTGTCAATCTGACATCTGATTGTTGTCTACCTGACATCTTAATGTTGTCTACCTGACATCTGATTGTTGTCTACCTGACATCTGATTGTTGTCTACCTGACATCTGATTGTTGTCTACCTGACATCTGATTGTTGTCTACCTGACATCTGATTGTTGTCTACCTGACATCTGATTGTTGTCTACCTGACATCTGATTGTTGTCTACCTGACATATAACAGTTGTCTACCTGACATCGAACTGTTGTCTACTTGACGTCTCACAGTTGTCTACTTGATGTCTCACCGTTTTCAACCTGACATCGAACTGTTGTCTACCTGACATTTCACAGTTGTCTACTTGATGTCTCACCGTTATCTACCTGACATCGAACTGTTGTCTACCTGACATTTCACCGTTGTCTACTTGATGTCTCACCGTTATCTACCTGACATCACACCGTTGTCTACCTGACATTTCACCGTTGTCTACTTGATGTCTCACCGTTATCTACCTGACATCACACCGTTGTCTACCTAATCTTACTGTTGTCTACCTGACATTTTACCGTTGTCTACCTGACAGCTAACCGTTGTGTACCTGGCATCTCACCGTTGTCTACCTGACATCTGATTGTTGTCTACCTGACATCTCACAAATGTCTACATGACATTTCACCGTTGTCTACCTGACATCTCACAAATGTCTACATGACATCTGACCATTGTCTACCTGACATCTCACCGTTATCTACCTGACATCTCACCGTTATCTACCTGACATCTCACCGTTATCTATCTGACATCTCACCGTTATCTACCTGACATCTCACCGTTATCTACCTGACATCTCACTGTTGTCTACCTGACATCTCACTGTTGTCTACCTGACATCTCACTGTTGTCTACCTGACATCTCACTGTTGTCTACCTGACATCTCACCGTTATCTACCTGACATCTCACCGTTATCTACCTGACATCTCACCGTTATTTACCTGACATCTCACCGTTATCTATCTGACATCTCACCGCTATCTACCTGACATCTCACCGTTATGTACCTGACATCTCACCGTTATCTACCTGACATCTCACCGTTATCTACCTGACATCTCACCGTTATCTATCTGACATCTCACTGTTATCTATCTGACATCTCACCGTTATCTACCTGACATCTCACCGTTATCTATCTGAAATCTCACCGTTATCTATCTGACATCTCACCGTTATCTACCTGACATCTCACCGTTATCTACCTGACATCTCACCGTTATCTACCTGACATCTCACCGTTATCTATCTGACATCTCACTGATGTCTACCTGACATCTCACTGTTGTCTACCTGACATCTCACTGTTGTCTACCTGACATCTAACCGTTGTCTACCTGACATCTCACCATTGTCTACCTGACATCTCACTGTTGTCTACCTGACATCTAACCGTTGTCTACCTGACATCTCACCATTGTCTACCTGCAGGTATCATTACGTACGTGGGAGCCGTCATGAGCTTTCTGGGGGTGCTGGGTCTTGAGCTGTACGAGAGCAACGACCGGGTCTGGTACCTGGACGCTGTCTTCGGTATCTGTTGCGGGGTCTTCCTCCTTTGCTTCGGTCTCAAGTAAGTACCCACCTGTCCCTCTGTCTTCCTTTTTATCTTCAGTCTCAAGTAAGTACCTGCCTGTCCTTCTGTCTTCCTCCTTTGCTTCAGTCTCAAGTAAGTACCCACCTGTCAAGTCTGTTTTCTTATAGACCATGCTGAGTCTTCCAGTCAAGTCTGTTGTCTCATAGACCATGCCGAGTCTTCCAGTCAAGTCTGTTGTCTTATAGACCATGCCGAGTCTTCCAGTCAAGTCTGTTGTCTTATAGACCATGCCGAGTCTTCCAGTCAAGTCTGTTGTCTCATAGACCATGCCGAGTCTTCCAGTCAAGTCTGTTGTCTTATAGACCATGCAAAGTCTTCCAGTCAAGTCTGTTGTCTTATAGACCATGCCAAGTCTTCAAGTCAAGTCTGTTGTCTTATAGACCATGCAAAAGTCTTCCAGTCAAGTCTGTTGTCTTATAGACCATGCCGAGACTTCCAGTCAAGTCTGATGTTTTATAGACCATGCAAAGTCTTCCAGTCAAGTCTGATGTTTTATAGATCATGCAAAGTCTTCCAGTCAAAGCTGATGTTTTATAGACCATGCAAAAGTCTTCGAGTCAAGTCTGATGTTTTATAGACCATGCAAAGTCTTCCAGTCAAGTCTGATGTTTTATAGACCATGCAAAGTCTTTCAGTCAAGTCTGATGTTTTATAGACCATGCAAAGTCTTCCAGTCAAGTCTGATGTTTTATAGACCATGCAAAGTCTTCCAGTCAAGTCTGATGTTTTATAGACCATGCAAAGTCTTCCAGTCAAGTCTGATGTTTTATAGACCATGCAAAGTCTTTCAGTCAAGTCTGGTGTTTTATAGACCATGCAAAGTCTTTCAGTCAAGTCTGGTGTTTTATAGACCATGCCGAGTCTTCCAGTCAAGTCTGATGTCTTATAGACCATGCAAAGTCTTCCTGTGAAGTATGTTGTCTCATAGATCCTGTCGAGTCTTCAAGTGAATGAATATAGTTCGTATCTCTCTTCAATCGTACTCAAGAACAAGGCCAGTGATGTAATCAATTACATAAGCGCTGGTTTATTCATAATATTCTTGTCACACACATTTCATAAATTCAATAAGCAATAGTATATGAACACTCCTTATTACTGGCTATTCGTATGCCTCTACGAGTTCCTTAACCACTGTTCTGGCTAAACTCCAAGTTTAACATATACCTTCTAACGAAGTACAGCACTAGTTTTCTCAACTGGTCTCTTAAGCTGTCCGGTCCTAACCGTCTTCTCCAGCGGTTCCGGGGCTAACTAACTTCTCAAGCCCCTGGCTTCTGACTTTATTCCCCCGCTTTCCCGCTCTTCCTGGCGTACCTTCTCCATCACTCCCCTGTCACCTGTCTTTGGTGGTCACGTTTGGATGAACGTATCTCATCAGCTGGTCACAGCTCACGGGACTCGTCGAATGTTTCATCCCTCACTGTCAGATGTCATGGCGGTGTGTTCTGCATAGCTGGCTAGGCCATGGCTTTCTAATCACCAATTCTGTCATTTCACACAGTGATGGATTAGTACGATGTGTGGTGGTCTGAAATGTATGCTTGTTCATTTAACCCCTTTCTGCCTATATTTCATTACAATTCGCTGTTACATGAAGTTGGTTCGCTGTTACATGAAGTTGGTTTGCTGTTACATGAAGTTGGTTTGCTGTTACATTAAGTCGTTTGGCTGTTACATGAAGTCGTTTGGCTGTTACATGAAGTTGGTTCACTGTTACATGATGTTGGTCCGCTGTTACATGAAGTTGGTTCGCTGTTACATGAAGTTGGTTCGCTGTTACATGAAGTCGTTTCACTGTTAAATGAAGTTGGTTTGCTGTTACATGAAGTCGTTTGGCTGTTACATAAAGTCGTTTGGCTGTTACATGAAGTTGGTTCGCTGTTACATGAAGTTGGTTCACTGTTACATGAAGTCATTTATCTGTTACATGAAGTCGGTTTGCTGTTACATGAAGTCGGTTTGCTGTTACATGAAGTTGGTTCGCTGTTACATAAAATTGGTTCGCTGTTACATGAAGTTGGTTCGCTGTTACATGAAGTTGGTTCGCTGTTACATGAAGTTGTTTTGCTGTTACATGAAGTTGGTTCGCTGTTACATGAAGTTGGTTCGCTGTTACATGAAGTTGGTTGGCTGTTACATGAAGTCATTTGGCTGTTACATGAAGACGTTTCACTGTTACATGAAGTTGGTTCGCTGTTACATGAAGTTGGTTCGCTGTTACATGAAGTCATTTGGCTGTTACATGAAGTCATTTGGCTGTTACATGAAGTCATTTGGCTGTTACATGAAGACGTTTCACTGTTACATGAAGTTGGTTCGCTGTTACATGAAGTTGGTTCGCTGTTCCATGAAGTTGGTTCGCTGTTACATGAAGTTGGTTTGCTGTTACATGAAGTTGGTTCGCTGTTACATGAAGTTGGTTCGCTGTTACATGAAGTCATTTGGCTGTTACATGAAGTTGGTTCGCTGTTACATGAAGTTGGTTCGCTGTTACATGAAGTCGGTTTGCTGTTACAAGATACGGTTCGCTGTTACATGAAGTTGGTTCGCTGTTACATGAAGTTGGTTAGCTGTTTCATGAAATTGGTTCACTGTTACATGAAGTCGTTTGGCTGTTACATGAAGTTGGTTCACTGTTACATGATGTTGGTTCGCTGTTACATGAAGTTGGTTCGCTGTTTCATGAAGGTGGTTCGCTGTTACATGAAGTTGGTTCGCTGTTACATGAAGTCGTTTCACTATTAAATGAAGTTGGTTTGCTGTTACATGAAGTCGTTTGGCTGTTACATGAAGTCGTTTGGCTGTTACATGAAGTTGGTTCGCTGTTACATGAAGTTGGTTCACTGTTGCATGAAGTTATTTATCTGTTACATGAAGTTGGTTCGCTGTTACATGAAGTTGGTTCGCTGTTACATGAAGTCGGTTCGCTGTTACATGAAGTTGGTTCGCTGTTACATGAAATTGGTTCGCTGTTACATGAAGTTGGTTCGCTGTTACATGAAGTTGTTTTGCTGTTACATGAAGTTGGTTCGCTGTTACATGAAGTTGGTTCGCTGTTACATGAAGTTGGTTCGCTGTTACATGAAGTCATTTGGCTGTTACATGAAGTCATTTGGCTGTTACATGAAGACGTTTCACTGTTACATGAAGTTGGTTCGCTGTTACATGAAGTTGGTTCGCTGTTACATGAAGTTGGTTCGCTGTTACATGAAGTCATTTGGCTGTTACATGAAGTCATTTGGCTGTTACATGAAGACGTTTCACTGTTACATGAAGTTGGTTCGCTGTTACATGAAGTTGGTTCGCTGTTCCATGAAGTTGGTTCGCTGTTACATGAAGTTGGTTTGCTGTTACATGAAGTTGGTTCGCTGTTACATGAAGTTGGTTCGCTGTTACATGAAGTTGGTTCGCTGTTACATGAAGTCATTTGGCTGTTACATGAAGTTGGTTCGCTGTTACATGAAGTTGGTTCGCTGTTACATGAAGTCGGTTTGCTGTTACAAGATACGGTTCGCTGTTACATGAAGTTGGTTCGCTGTTACATGAAGTTGGTTCGCTGTTACATGAAATTGGTTCGCTGTTAGATGAAGTTGTTTCGCTGTTAGATGAAGTTGTTTTGCTATTACATGAAGTTGGTTCGCTGTTACATAAAGTCATTTGGCTGTTAGATAAAGTTGGTTCGCTGTTACATGAAGTTGTTTGGCTGTTACATGAAGTCGTTTGGCTGTTACATGAAGTTGTTTCGCTGTTACATGAAGTCATTTGGCTGTTAGATGAAGTCGTTTGCCTGTTACACAAAGTCGTTTGGCTGGTACATGTAGTCGTTTCGCTGTTACATGAAGTCATTTGGCTGTTAGATGAAGTCGTTTGGCTGTTACACAAAGTCGTTTGGCTGGTACATGAAGTCGTTTGGCTGTTACATGAAGTCGCCAAGTCTTCACCAAATATAGCATGGGGTTTCCAGGTCGGTGTTGCCAACATTTGTGTTTAGTGTGTTTCTTCTCAGACGCTGAGCTCTCAACCTTTCTGCCATCATGGACTGATAGGCCAAGGAAAGTCACACAATTACAATGGAAACAGCTCTTGAATTAACGGCCCGTGAAACCTCAGGTTGACATGGTACTGACCGGCCCTTGAAACCTCAGGCTGACATGCTACTGACCGGCCTCTGAAACCTCAGGCTGACATGGTATTGACCGGCCTCTGAAACCTCAGGCTGACATGGTACTGACCGGCCTCTGAAACCTCAGGCTGACATGGTACTGACCGGCCCCTGAAACCTCAGGCTGACATGGTACTGACCGGCCCCTGAAACCTCAGGCTGACATGGTACTGACCGGCCTCTGAAACCTCAGGCTGACATGGTACTGACCGGCCCCTGAAACCTCAGACTGACATGGTACTGACCGGCCCCTGAAACCTCAGACTGACATGTACTGACCGATGTAATATTTAAGACAAGACGTTTAAACAAGCAGCAGAATATCAAGCTGCCCAAAACAGAAATTGCCAATTTACCCTTTTGTAACCGTTTTCTTGAGTTTTTATCACTAACCGCTAGTTTGTGTATATTTTGTAATGGTCAAATTTGAATCATAGGTCGCTAGTTTGTATATACTTTGTCGCGGTCATATTTTGCCAACTACATTTTAATAGTTACTTCCCTTGTACTATCAGTCGGCGAGACAATCCACCAGGACTGGTTTTATGTACTGCGTACAACCTTGTCTTCTTCTTCGGAATGTCAAAACCCTTGAGGTTCATTACTGTAGATATCACCCGCCTCCATTCTGTGACTGGTCTTCTCTTTCCAGTTAGTGACTCCAAGTGTTTGTACGTCCACCTGGATACACCAAATGTTTGTAGGTCTGTCTGGATAAGTGTTTGTAGCTCTATATGGATACACCAAGTGTTTGTACGTCCACCTGGATACACCAAATGTTTGTAGGTCTGTCTGGATAGACCAAGTGTTTGTAGGTCTGTCTGGATACACCAAGCGTTTGTAGGTCTGTCTGGATAGACCAAGTGTTTGTAGGTCTTTCTGGATAAACCAAGTGTTTGTAGGTCTGTCTAAATACACCAAGTGTTTGTAGCTCTGTCTGGATAAACCAAGTGTTTGTAGGTCTGTCTGGATACTCCAAGTGTTTGTAGGTCTGTCTGGATACACCAAGTGTTTGTAGGTCTGTCTGGACACAGAAAGTGTTTGTAGGTCTGTCTGGACACACCAAGTGTTTGTAGGTCTGTCTGGATACACTAAGTGTTTGTAGGTCTGTCTGGATACACCAAGTGTTTGTAGGTCTGTCTAAATACACCAAGTGTTTGTAGCTCTGTCTGGATATTATCTCTCTGCTATCTTCTTGGTCTGCTGGTGGTCCACGACCATGCAACTTTCCTGTGAACACTTTTTCTCTCTCTGTCATTCTATTTCTATGCCTCAACCGTCGTTTGTCTGTTGGCCCTCCTGGTCAGCGGTGATTAAGATAAAATGTCTTTCATTGTTGCTTGCCTCCTTCCGTTCCCCGCCCCGCCCGCCCCGCTGTTTGCATCTTTTGAGTCCAAGATCCGTCGTTAGTCTGCGTTTATGTGGGTCAAATGTTAGAAACCTTCTGGAAGATTATAATTAGATCGGTAGTTAAGATACTAGGATGCCGGGTTCGATCCCAGATGATGGGGCGTGCGCCTTGCTTTATCAAGAAAGCCGACCGCCCAGAAAGCATTGGCAAACTACTGGACGTAAATTTGCCTAGAAAAACCACACAACAGCCAGGGGCTCTTGGGGTTGGTTCTGCAACGTCCTGTAAAGGATACGCAACTAACAAAATTAAGACACTTAGGTTTTCCCTCTGGTGTTTCCTTGAGTCTTGCCAAGCTAAGGACAATTTTGTCTGCATAATGCAATAGACATTTTGACTTTTTGTATTTTTTTTTTTAATTTAAAAAAAAAAAAAAATGAAATAATTGGTTTCTCCCTGCAGGTTACTTATACAGCTGACCTGTCTGTATAACGTCAGTAAAGAAGATCCGATGTTGGAGGACGAAGAGTGAGCCGGAAACGTTCGACTGTAGAGATGTCTGCCTGCTGTGGAGAATTTCTTGTGTTGCGTCTTGATTAGCACGGACAGAACTTGAGACAGAAATGTCTGCGGTCAATTACGTGAGATGTACTCTCCCCTGTGTTAACATGACTATTATTCGTGGATTCATCTGGTGACTTGAGGTTTAGGATGTATGGTCATTTCCAGTTGTTATTCGTTGGTTCAGATAGTAACAGCATTGATTTCCAAAATAGAATATTGTCTTTCCGACACTAATGCCTCAGGTTCCTGTCCTCACTGGCCGAATAAAAATGACCTCGGCTCCCAGGTCAGACCAGGATAAACTTGGGTACCAGGAAAAGGAAATGCCTTGGGAAATAAATGCGACCAGTGTGATTTAATCTCTGGTTTGCTAGGAGATTGCATTTCTGTGTTAAGAATTTTTGTCTAAATATGGCGTCACACACAACGTTTAGAAAACTCTGTCTTAGAAGGTGGTGTGCGTGTGTGTGTGTGCGTGAGTGTGTGTGCGTGAGAGAGAGAGAGAGAGAGAGAGAGAGAGAGAGAGAGAGAGAGAGAGAGAGAGAGAGAGGAGACATTTTGCCATCATTAGTTCTACAAAAGTACAGCTGTAGTTAAAAAGTGTATCATTTATGCTGAAAGATGCGACTTCTATAGCAAATTGGAGCTTGTGACACACGAGCTGCGACTTCTAGAGCAAATTGGATCTTGTGACACACGAGCTGCGACTTCTGGAGCAAGTTGGACCTTGTGACACACGAGCTGCGACTTCTGGAGCAAGTTGGACCTTGTGACACACGAGCTGCGACTTCTGGTGCAAGTTGGACCTTGTGACACACGAGCTGCGACTTCTGGTGCAAGTTGGAGCTTGTGACACACCAGCTGCTACTTCTGGAGCAAGTTGGATCTTGTGACACACCAGCTGCTACTTCTGGAGCAAGTTGGAATTTGTGACACACGAGCTGCTACTGTCATTTGTAAGACGTGCTTAGAATTGTAGAGCTATTTTCGGAATTACAGCAAAATATTTCAGGTGTGATTTCTTGCGGCAAAATTGTCCATGTAGCTTTGATTGTGTGACTGGCTACTGACTGCATGTCGTCCTTCACTCTATATATGTCTTTCTGAGTCACGTGTAGAATGCAACTTGATTAGGATTTTGACAAATTTAGAGTGCAACATTTTTTGGAACATCTTGATAATTTAATGTACAACGTTTCCTGTATGATTGTGATGAATTTAAAGTTCAACATTCCATGTATGACTGACAGGTTTAGAGTACAATTTCATGTATGACTTTGACAGGTTTAAAGTACAACTTTCCATGTATGACTTTGACAGGTTTAGAGTACAACTTTCCATGTATGACTTTGACAGGTTTAGAGTACAACTTTCTGTGTATGACTTACACAGGTTTAGAGTACAACTTTCCATGAATGACTTTGACAGGTTAAGAGTACAACTTTCCATGTATGACTGACAGGTTTAGAGTACAACTTTCCATGTATGACATTGACAGGTTCAGAGTACAAATTTCCATGTATGACTTTGACAGGTTTAGAGTACAACTTTCTATGTATGACTTTCACAGGTTTAGAGTACAACTTTCCATGTATGACTGACAGGTTCAGAGTACAAATTTCCATGTATGACTTTGACAGGTTTAGAGTACAACTTTTCATGTATGACTTTCACAGGTTTAGAGTACAACTTTCCATGAATGACTTTGACAGGTTAAGAGTACAACTTTTCATGTATGACTGACAGGTTTAGAGTACAACTTTCCATGTATGACTTTCACAGGTTTAGAGTACAACTTTCCATGTATGACTTTCACAGGTTTAGAGTACAACTTTCCATGTATGACTTTGACAGGTTTAGAGTTCAACTTTCCGTGTATGACTTTGACAGGTTTAGAGTCCAACTTTCCGTGTATGACTTTGACAGGTTTAGAGTTCAACTTTCCATGTTTGACTTTGACAGGTTTAGAGTTCAACTTTCCATGTTTGACTTTGACAGGTTTAGAATACAACTTTCCATGTGTGACTTTGACAGTTTTAGAGTTCAACTTTCCATGCTTGACTTTGACAGGTTTAGAGTTCAACTTTCCGTGTATGACTTTGACAGGTTTAGAGTTCAACTTTCCGTGTATGACTTTGACAGGTTTAGAGTTCAACTTTCCGTGTTTGACAGGTTTAGTTCAACTTTCCGTGTATGACTTTGACAGGTTTAGAGTTCAACTTTTCGTGTATGACTTTGACAGGTTTAGAGTTCATCTTTCCATATTTTTCTTTGACAGGTCTAGAGTACAACTTTCCATGTATGACTTTGACAGGTTTAGAGTTTTTTTCTTCTTTATTTACTAGCGGAAAGTCCTGGTTATTCGTCCATTTGGACTTCGGTTTTGGGCCAGGGTGTCAGCTTTAAGTGTTTATTGGCTTATTTGTGTGCAGTTGGTCGTTCCTTGTTGCTCTGGCAGATGAACCCTG